CTTATTATACATTTGATTTAAATGAAGATGAGAAAAGAAAGATCTATATAATTAGTAGAAAAACTTATCTATTTCTTTGTATCATGTATAGCACATGCACTGTCAATTAATTGACAACTGTTACTATATAACAAAGATAACTCTTAATCTGATAATCTTAAGAGTATCAGAATTATACTCTTAAAGAGAAGAATATTATCACACTCTCAGCTATATTAAGATTTTATTACAGTTTCACACAGCTTATTACTTTTATATGAATAATTTCATCTTATCTGAATCAGTTTTCAATCACTCTATAACATTATTCAGATATATTATAGAAAGATTTAATTAATAAATATAAGAATCTCACTTTTATATAAGATCAGCAGATTACTCTTTCTTAATAGTAAGACACTGCTGAGATATTACTTCAGCTATTCTTACTTATAGAATAAGAGAAGAGTATTCACTCATTATCTATATAGAATAGTTAGATACTAACTTCTTATTAAAGAAGTCAGTGATTTATTTTTCTTTCACTGAAATATATACAAGAGTTACTGTATATCTTATACAATCTTCTTAGTATACTAAGTATTATATCTGTAATATTCTTGCAATAACTCTGTAGTCTACAAGCTCACTATTTAAGTAAGATAGTCAAGCTCATTTATACAGCTTCTTAAATAACTATCTCTATATAACACTGCTGACTAGTCATCAGTTCAGTTCTGTTACATTACAATTACACAGAGTCATTATATTAAAGAAATATTAAAAGATTTTGAAATAAATAAGATTAACTCTGCAGAGATCTTAATAATAACAGATATATAACTGAAATTTTCATCTGATAAGAATAGTGAATTAAATAATAACTTTATAGTTATAAGATATTATCAAGAATTGAAATTGTTACAGTATTTAATCTCAAGTAGTTAGTCAGATTTGATATTCACAGTTAACTATCTCTTATATTTTAACTTATGTTTATGCAAAGTATATTAAGCAGTGTTAAAGCATGTTCTATATTATATTAAAAAGATGAAAAATCATGACATATTATACAGAAAGAAGATTAGTGATAAGAGTCTGAATTCTATAATATACTATAATTCAGACTAAGCAGAGATAGATTCTTAATATAAATTAACTACTGACTATATTATATTAATTAATAAGTTACTGATCTTATAATAATCACAGAGACAGATATCTATTATTAAATTAATTATAGAAGCTGAATATATTATAGTTAGTAAAACAGCTTATAAGATAATCTAATTAAATAATATATTATATAATACTGAGTTAATGAATAATGAAAAAGTGAAAATATACTTGTATCTATAAGTTGATAATAAGAGAGTAATCAATCTAGTAAAGAGAGAATGCCCCAGTGGCTGAATGATTAATGCAGTCACCTGATAGCACCTTGATATGAGAAACCAAGGTGTGTGGGTTTGAAACCCGCAGAGAATACATTAAATCCGGAACTCAAGCACCTCAGGTTTCTAATAAATACAGAGGTGTATAAATCACTTTAATAAAATCACTCTATGTTCCTGGGCTGGGAAGTTATTATCGCATGTATCTAATTGTCACTTCTTTGTATTTCCTATGTTCTTGTTATCTTGGCATGGTCTCAACACCTGTATTTCCTCCTGTATAATCAACACTTGACCTGTATTTAATATCATGCAAGAACTCATCATAAGCTCCACTTATATATAAGTATAATGAAAGAATAATAATAATAATAATAATAGTAAAGAGAGAATTCTTAATATAAAGATTATATTATATTAAGATTAGATATCATATTCTTTATAATTTAATTAAAAAAGAGAAAATCATGATAAAATATATTAATTCTATAGTAAATATAGCTGACAGACTCACTAAGTCACTGATAAAGCCTGTGTTTGAAGATTATATTAAAAGAATTGATTTAAAAGAGATCAGAAAGAAATAATTAAATGATAATAATAATACAGTTATTATTATTATTATTCTTCAATTATAGATGTATGCAGTCAGAGACTATGACATCTATCTGAGAATCTTTAATTCTCAGAGTTTTTTCTATATCTATAGAGTCAACTTATTATACATTTATCAATTTCAAATATGTAAAATCAGAAAATTCCAGCTCAGAATACAAAAACTGTTTACAAATTGCAGTATTTCAACATCTTCTGATAGTTTGAAATTATTCAGAAATATTATGACAAAAGAAAAGAGAACATAGTCTTAAAGATAGATATATTAAATAGATAGAGAAAAGAATAGAAGGAAATAAGTACAGTAAAGAGAGCTACAGAACAAGATCTCTGCAGTTTACATCTTAAGCTATATACATATTTTAACATTCTATATAACTGACCGCTGCCTCTGTTCTCTCAGGCCCACTTCAGAGGTTATCATTCTCTCTAAAGGGCCGCTGCTCAGCTAGCTCCTGTAACTAGCTTACTCATAAGTGAGATCCTCACTAAGAATAACATCAGAGCTACTCAATTCTAGTTAAGTCTCTAATCTTCCAGCTGTCAATCTCAGCATTCCAGCCTATCAATTGGCTGTCACAGTCTTGCTTACACTAACCACCTATTAAGAGCGCCTAGGCCTCGTCTCACCTAGGTCCTTGCTAGGCCCAGGGTGTCCTAATTGAATAGTTTTTAAATCTCCTTCCCCGGAAGTGGGTGCCTAGAGTGGGGGGGATGAGACCTGGCCAGTTAAGCTTGATGATGATTTGCTATCCTGCGGGCACCCTAGACCCCAATCACTCTAGTACTGATCTAACTTGAAGCGCCCGGGGGGCTGTTAACCCTAAGATCAGTGAGAATTAGCGCCCGGGAACCCCCAGGATGAACATCTTAAGCTTGACAATGATTCGCTATAGTGCACCCGGGGGCCCCTGGTACTGTTTTATAACTTAACAGTGGAAGCTGTGGTTAAGATGGCCCTCGCAGGGTTCGAACCTGCCCCCTCTTGGCATTCATTCCCCGGGGGGAAGGCCGCTAATTGGGGCTCCATGGTAGCGTAGTTAACCACTACGCCACCGGGCCATATAATAATACAGTGAATTAATGAATTTTACATGTATTTCTTGATTTTTACAGTTATTATCATACAGATATCTTTTCTAATGAGGAAATCAGAGTCTGATTGATGTAATTAATTATTATTGTATTTTTGAAAGATTTGAGAATGAGAGAGGCCCCGGGTGATGACTTATTATAGGTTACAGTATAGCAAGAGAGGTGTTGATGATTACTATACCTACTCTAGTCACGTGCCACTTCAACCTATTTAGTGTAACTCGCGTAGTTAGAACACAACATAACAACATTATATAGGCTACTGAGGCAAAAGAGCTCAATCATCATCAGCACACTGCTGGTAGAAGGGCCGATCAACCGCGGGACCCTCAACACCCCCCCTTGAACCAGCTATCACAGAGTACAGTACTTCCTCTCAGTGGCTCCCTTCAGTGGCTCCTCACAATGGCTTCTCTTAGTGGACTAGATCACTCAGTTCTAGGGCTTAAAGGGACTTCTAGAGCACACTCCTGAGATGTCTCTTGACACTGTTAAAATGTCCAGGATATTTTGTTAGGAATTTTTAAGTCCATTCTGGGATTGAACTCATGCATGTTGACCACAGCGGGGCTCACACTTAACAGTCTCATAACCTGTAGGCTACTGGGGCAAAAGAGCTCAATCACCACCAGCGCACTGCTGGTAGAAGGGCCGATCAACCGCGGGACCCCCAACACATTATCCTTCAAGAAAACTAGATCTGTGAGATCTTAGGGTCAGGGTCCCCTGCAGATTCAGATTATTAATATCTTATTAATATCTTATTAATCACCATCACGAAGCGTTTGCTGGCCTAAGGGCAGAGGCTGGAAAATGAGTCCCCACCGAACCGAACTGAACGCAACATCGAGCCGGCTGAATGGCAACCATGGGCTAGCTATCTTTCAACGAAGAAGGGTTCTTTTTGCCTCTGGTTATGGGTAGGTAACCTGGTACGATTTGACAAGCTCTTAGCCAAGGGGCTCAGGGGCAAATATATAAAGAGAGCAAGCTCATAGTCTGTGAAAGGCTAAACTATATATAAACTATAACTATAAGAACATACTAACTACATTAGGAGTAGTGCAATTGGTGCGTGCCTATATAATGAGTATTGTGTGGAATTAAGCTTTTACACTCAAAAACATCCGAAAAAAGCCTTTTGAAACCAAATGCTGCCAACGTTCAAATGTCCCCAGTTTCTGTATTTTTGTTTGCAGTCAGAACAACCGCAAAACTCGATCGCTTCTCTATTTCATTTTCCTTTTTACGTCTACTAGATGACCAGTTCCTACATTTCTACGTATATCTATTGCATAGGAGAAGGGCACACTTCATATCGCTTGGCATACGAGCATGCTACAAATATATTGAGTTACTGCGGTATCCATGTTTTTGCGCTTTCATCGTGGTGGCTATTTCGCTCCATTTCATGTATCATCATAGACTGGACCATTTCAACTTCGCATTTACCTTCTTCGTGTTATGCTTCTCTGTCACCATGCCATACCCCTTCTATCCGGATGAATTGGCAAATAATCTAATTCTTCTCGACAGGCAACAGCCATTGGCCTCCTTACTCTCTCTCATCTATATCATACTCATTTGGTGTCGCGCACATTTTTGTTGCTGTTCCCCCAACGCAACGGTCCCGTTGGCTTTCAGCATCATCATCTTTCTGGTTCTCTGGACTGTATCGCTGGGCGTGCTGAGCTGGAGGCTCTCCCGCACCATACTATACTGCTCAGCTGCAGCGCGAAACATTGGGGAAAACCAAGCGGAATTTCCTTCTGCCATCTATCTAAAATGCTCTTCTCCTTCACAGCCATCGACGTGGTTACCCCATGCTGCCTCCGTATTCCTCGACCACGCACGCATCATTCCCGGTACACGAATTGTCATATGATGGGAATGACGAGGGTGCGGGGTGAGGAGGGGCGTTATTAAACCCGTGTAATATATACATGTATATATAGCGGTCGTTGTGCATGGGGACATGCTGATACTCTAGTATTTTGTTGTTCTTTTGGATGGATATACCTCCATTCTTAAGTGACATGGATTTCCTTCATGCATGTGCTTGCTTGTCTATGTATAAATGCTAAGTGCCGAATGAACATTGATAAAATAGAAGAGATAAAGGGGTATATATAAAAGGGAAAATAAAATTACTCGTAACAAAACAACCTCCCGCTAACAGCTAACAAAATCCTGTAAAGGGAAAAAAAAAAAGAACCTGAATCCCTGGCTGCCACCAGTCAATCAATCTGCCGTGGATCACACTGTAATAGCCCTGGTCCCCTTGACAACTTGACAACCAACCACCCAGCCAAAAGCGCATGCAGCCACCTCCCAACCACCACACTCTCCAACATAACCAGTTTCCCTCCTTCCCCGCGGCGATAGGTAGGATGCCGAGGAGGAGGAGAGCGGAGGTACGCGTGCTTGGGATCGGGGAGTCGCACGGTGGAAGGAGAGGGGATGGGGAGGCGGTTAAGAGTAGAGAGCATCTTGACTCTCTGTTACCTTATGAAAGATGATATAGTAACTAGTTCTGCGCCTTCGGGTACGTTATGATTTGAAGTTGAGAAAGGATTTGTTGAACGGATAGTCATCAAAAACAATACAATGTAGCTTTTTCTTCGGCTTCCACTTCACACTGTTTACTGTTTATCAATGACCATTTATATATACCCAAGCCTGTGAGACTGGCTGGGTGTTGTTGGGAGGTTTTATATACTTTACCTCAAATCGTTGGTCTGGAAGCCATATGATCCTCCTCCCGCATCATACTTTCTTGGAGGAGTCCGTTGGAGCATGAAGAATCGGCTAATTGACAGCGAATACGAATGGAAGCTCCGGGATGCCGATGCGCTAGGGAAGCCAATGCATAAATATCAGAATAATTCTGCGCGACCAGGGACGTATGTTTACAGCGGACTTCAGATGATGAGTTTAAAATAAATAAATAAATTATAGCACTGATTAAGCAGAACAAAACAAAAAGAGGCATTTTCTCGCACATTTTCACGTTTGGACTGGAAAATATTTATCTAAAATGGGAGGGAGTATATGGAGGGCCATAACAAAAAGGGGGGCATAGATACAGCATAAGACACTGAATGGATGGGTTAGATCGCTTTACATGATGACTTCATTGGCGACGTCCTAAACATCGAGAAATAATTCGTTAGTTTCCTGTCTACTTTCAAAACAAATAGGGCAGTTTATGAGGCCTGGAATATCATATCATACCCTCTTTAACTCCTTGTACGGCAGGCAGACGCAATTCTGCACCCGCACCTCATCACCAACACCACACTCCTTGCCCAAAATCGTAATACTCTGCACCTTCACACCGTTCTTAACGATCGTTGTCGAATGGCTCCCGACAGGCGTTGGCGTGCCTTCTACTCGGGCCCATGCCCCCACCCGACTGCTCCATCCGATTATCGAGTACAGGACACACGCATCATGTTTAATCTCTACATCTTCGAGGACGATAGATTCTTTGATGCGAACACCAGCGCCAATGACAGCGCGGGCCCCAATGGAGACATTAGGTCCCAGTTTGGCGGTTGGATCGACGGTGGCGGTTGGGTGGATGTAGACGGGTGGTACAATGTTCGCCGAGGGCGTGGCGATTTCTTCGGATTGTGACTGGAACGCCTTTTGGAGGTATAGAGCGTTGGCAGGCACAGCGGAACCGGCGGTTTTGATCTGGCGCCAGAAGTCTTTGGTCTCGTGTACGAAGAAGCGGTTGCTATCTGCGAGGTCAGAGAGAATATCTTGTTCGAGTCGGAGGACTTCCGGTTTCTCGCCCTCTTCATCTTGGTTGACGACGTGGTAGGTTTCGAGGTTGTCGGAAGATGGGTAAGAGAGGAGGCGGGGCCGCGCGGTGCGTCGCTTGATTGCGCTGCGGATGGAGGGGAATATGCACTCTGTGGCGAAGAGGTAGACACCGCAGTTGATTAGGTTGGAGATATGGGATTCAGGCTTTTCGACGTAGTGTAGTACGCGTTTGGAATGGCTATCGGACACGATGCAGCCAAAGTTGGTGGCGGCATCATTGCTCACTCGAGTTCCTAATATAACCGCCTCTGCATCCTTCTCTTCGAACAGCTTGAGCATCTCCCCAAGCGGGAACGAGCAGCAGACATCTGCATTGAGGACAAAAAAGCGCTCTGGGCGGCCCTTCAAAATGGCATCTCGGAAGTGGTAGAGGCCTCCCGCGGTGCCCAAGGCCTGATATTCTCGAAGATATTGGATGCGGAATTGGGGGAATTCCTTGGTGGAATCCTTGATGAAATCCCGGAAAACAGTTTCGTCGTAGTAGCCTACAAGGATGACTTCTCGAATGCCAGGGACTTTGGCAACAGCTCTTAAGCAGTGCCAGATGATGGGGTGGCCAGCGACTTCAAATAACGGCTAGAAAGCATATCAAAATGGGGCCCCGTCAGTAAAATCTTCCTCGAATAAGTCTCACGTACGTATGTATATGAACTGGTGGTAGTGCGGATTTTGCTTCACCAGGGAGGGGTGGTGGTGGTGGTGAGGGGTATGGAGATGGTCTGACCTTTGGAACATCAAGGGACAAAGGCCTAAATCTGGTGCCTCTCGAAGGCCCGCCCACCTAAGAGACCATTTGTCAGCTTAAATTCCCATATTGCATATATCGGACCATTGCATTGCGTACAAGGATGACGGCCTTTGTGGAAGCCATATCGGATTCCCTGATGGGGATTTGGAGCATGGATGGTAAGTTCTCGAGGCCGTAAATGGGTTCTCGAGGCCGGGGGGGGGGGGCTTTGTATGAAGATGTGCAAGGCTTTGGTTAGTCGGGGTTAAATAAGGCGCGATGGCGACAAGAGAAGCAGTTTTGAAGATAAAGTCCAGAGGAAGCTACACACACATACGGTGGAGGACACTTTGGAGGCGGGGGTTCGGAGTACACAACAAGAAGAATTCAGGCACAAGTTGTATAAACCAGAGGAAATCGCTAATAATGGTATTAAATATTGTATTTGAAGAGCTGGCACTGCTAGCTGTAATTCTCGTTTTCTTTGTACTGGTAAATAAATAGTTAGTTACACGAATCGATATTGGGCGGTGAGGTTTGAGAGTTGCCCATCTTTGGGGTTTGTTGTTGTCTCCCCCGCTAGTTAAATAGTTAACTAAGTCAACTAGTTATTTAAGTTAACTATTTAACTCACTCGACTCCATAAATAACCAGAAAGAAATCCCGTGATCCAGCAGTCGCAGTTTGGCAACCTTTGGATCCTCAACCTCAACTTCCCCCTTTCTGATGTGTATACAATTGGGAGCTACATATCACAGATATTTCCAGCTCTTTTGATGCTTCGTTGTAGAGGAAGGAACCCACTCTATATACATGATCTGTAATTATGTCAAATATATTCTGGGATCTACTCTTCCCCAGGTACGGCTTGTTTGTGCCTGTAAAGGAGTCAGTCCCCTGCATAACAATGAGCTGTGAAGACATCCGCAAAGTGAGCCGCTCAGGAACACAACACTTTGGGCTACCACTGTATTGTATTTCTCTACAGCTTTATTCAACAATAACACTGACCAATGGCGGTTGGCATCACTCTCTGTTACTGTCCTGTGAAGTGTTGCTATAAAGGAAAACCTTCTCCCTAACTTCCCCTCTCTTCTACTCATATCCTTTTCATCTCAAAGGAACCTTCTCTATCTCCTATTGACTATCTTATAGATTGGAGATAAGACAAGTAGAATCGCAGTATCAGAACCGTTCGTTCTTTTCCCTACTTTTACTTTGTCTCTTCTAGTTTGTCTTTCTACTTCGTTTCCTCGAAAATTCCTCCAAAACAAGCCAACCCAAGAGCTTCCCCGAACTAGCTTCGTGGCCTCGAGGTTCCCATTTCAAATCATTTTGTCTTGCGTGCTGGATATCTGCCGTTTCCTTCTCTTTTATTTACAACTCTGTGCACTACGCCAGCATGGTTCAGCACCGTATTTCTCTTGGGAGCCACACTGTTTCGGATTCTCCTGGTACCCTCTTCCATATCTTCCTGTGTTGTATATATGATATTCTAACGACCTACATACGTATAGAGACAGTTGCTGAGAGTACTCCGCTGATCGTGGAGGAAAATGACTCCATTGATATGATTTCAAGGACGATGAAAGCTTTAGTCAAGAAAATCCAGGACTTGCGCCACTTGGGAATCGAAAATCATAAGCTACCCCTTCCAAAAATCTGTGTTGTGGGAGATCAGAGCACGGGTAAAAGTTCACTCATTGAAGGAATGAGTGAGATCAAGGTTCCCAGGAGTGCTGGCTGTTGTACTCGCTGTCCCCTAGAGATCAACCTCTCAGACTGTGAACCAGATGCACCATGGACTTGCAAAATCTTCCTAATGAAGAAGTACATCTATAGCACTCAGTTGGCTAACCGTGGTGGGAGAGGTAAAGGTTTAGGGCCCTGGGTTGACCAGGACCCCGAGATGATTCCCTTCGTGACAATAACGGACAAAGCTGGTGTGCAAGATGCCCTGAAATGGGCGCAATGCGCTACCCTCAATCCGTCAGCGTCTCATGAGGACTACATCCCAGGCAATAATTTGGGAACAGATGAAACCACTCAAGTCAAATTCTCCCCGAATGTTGTGCGTCTGGATATTTCTGCACCCCGCTTCCCTAACCTCTCTTTCTATGACTTACCAGGAGTCATCAATGTTGCAGAAATCGATACAGAGAAATACTTGGTGACCCTTGTTGAAAATCTTGTGAAGCAATATATCTCGACAAGTAGCTGCATTGTGCTCCTGACCCTCCCTATGACCGATGATGCCACCAATTCCAGCGCTGCAAGGATCATCAGAGAGGTTGGAGCAACATCTAGGACATTGGGTGTTCTTACAAAGCCAGATCGCATAGGCTATGGGGAAGGGTATGACCAATGGAAGGAGATCCTCCGTGGTGAAAAGTTCACCGTCGGTCATAGCTACTATGTTGTTCGCAACAACCCAAACCCGCAAGTCGAACACAGCCAAGCTCGTGAGGAGGAAGAAGAGTTTTTCAGCTCTGGACCGTGGAGAAATGAGCTGGTTGAGTATAGCGATAGATTCGGCACGCGGAACTTGCAAATGGCACTCTCAAAGCTTCTGAAACAGCAGATTGAGCTCAGTTTACCTGGGATTATGCAACAACTCCAAGCTCGAGCGCAAGAAGTCAAAAAGGAGCTGACGACTCTTCCTGATCCCCCTTCTGCCAATATTCAATTTATTTTGTCTGATAAATTGAACGAATTGAATAATGCCATGCATGCACATATGAATGGCACGTCGCTAGGCTCGGATTACTCCCTCCAGAAACAGTGGATGAAGATTGCTGCCGACTTCCAACATAGCTTGTTGGTCACTAGGCCGACAATGAGAACGTTTGCTGTGGTAGAAAACTTCACTACTAAGCAGCCAACCTCGAATCCAGTAGGCAGGGCGGCATGTGACGACGACGAGGGAGATTGTGAGATTACTGAAAGTCGTCCGTCTCCTAACAAACGTAAGGTAGGCACGGTGGAGCCTGATGGGGGTGTCAAGAGACAGATGAAATCGCCAATAACGCATAACACCCCAAGGGCCAGTCAAAATCTGTATTCCACTGAACACTTCGGTAGATTTAAAGGTTAGCATTTATCTATGAAACCAACTTTAATAATTTTCATCTGTTAATCATACCATTGCTGATCTGAAATCATAGGCCCTGTGAAAGTATTCACCCTGGAAGAGATTCGGGAAATTAGCAGCGAGACCTATGCCTCTGGCGTTCCTGGGCTTGCCAATCCCTATGCTGTTGAAGAGATGAACAAGCTCAGCGTGATGCATTGGGAGCAGCCCATGAAAGAGTTCCTCACAGCGACCTATGAGTTGATGGAAGCCTTTCTCATGGGTAAACTGGACGTTGTGTTTTCCTCTTACCAGCGCACGGCACTCTATGGAAAGTTGAGGAAGATAATTCCAAATTTCCTGGAGTCTTTGAAAAACCCTCACCTCCGCGCCGCCAATGAATTTTATCAAGTTGAGCAGATGAAGCCTTTCACGATGGCCACTGCCGCCTTCCAAAGCGCCCAGAGGGAAGCGCTTGATATCCTCAAAACGAAACGGCAGGCGTCTCGTGTGATGCGTTTCTTGGAGAGTGGAGATACTTTGGATGGTGGAAGACGAGTCGGCCCGAGCGGAATCTCCGATGCCCAAATGGGGGAGGACGAGTATGCTAAGGAGATTGAAATCATGGCGGTATAACTATCATCACTTATATGTGTAATCGTTCTGAACTAACGCCTTTTTACCTCTATGTAGGTATCCAGAGCCTACTACGAAATTGCTAGCTCCCGCTTTGTGGACACGCTCTGCCAGAGCGTCCACACGAAATTGTTCTTCAAATGCGATCGGGAACTTCATTCAGTGATCATAAAGGAACTTGGAATATTGGATAATAACGGTACGGTAAACTGACGTATATATCTAGATATCCAACCTATTACAGCTCCACTAGGAATGATAGGGCGATACGATACATCCTCTATGTCAACTAAGTTGCTAACCACTATACAACATCTCTTACCTAGCTTCCGAACGCTGCATGGAGCTAATGGTCGAAGACCCCGAACGCCAAAAGCGCCGTCGCGATTTGAAGAAGGAGGAGGAAAAGCTTAGAAAGGCAATGGGTTCATTGAGTACTATTGAGGAGGATGCTGGCAGCGCTGATGTAGCGGGTCCAGCCGATTTTGATCTGTTGCATGCTGGGCAAGCATGAATGGCCACTGCTAGTGAGAATTACTGATGTCGGAGATTTGATGTTTTTAGGCACATGTTTGTAGCTGGAATGAAGTGGGGGTTTCTTGCTTTGGGTTTCGATTAGTTCATGTTGGGTTGAGTCATGTTGGGAAAAAAAAAAAAAAGCACTGAATGATATTTGATACTTGAGGAAGTCACTTTGCGACTGAGAGTTTCGTAGTAGATTTGTAATTTGTAATGACTGAACGAATACTACCAGAGGGAGGGGTGTCTACTGTGCTCATACATTCCAATAATAATAGCAAAAAAGAAAAAAAAAATTAGAAGTCAATGACCGGAAATTTTCTTGACTCACCCCATGCAAATCATCCCCTCCAACAATCCGGAAACCCCACCAACACACTGTCACAAAAAAGTATTTCTCCAAACACCGCAATCAATTGAGTTCATAAACTTTGACCACATTCTAGGGTGTGTCGCAAATACCTACGTCCGGCTAAATATCGTGGACATATCTTACAAAACAATAAACCATTTGTGATTCCCCGCTTCTTGCCCCTCCTTCGCCCCCCACGCATACACGATCCGATCACAACAACAATAAACAGCAATGGCTGGACCAGACCAAGGGCCGGACGCTGATGCCGCCGCCGACAACCTCGCCAACCTGCACCTTGACGAAGTCACCGGCGAGCGTGTGTCTAAGTCGGAATTGAAGAAGAGACAGAAGCATCGGGCTAAGGAGGCGGAAAAGGAGAAGAAGGCCGCTGCCGCACCGCCCAAGCCAGAGAAGAAGGCTAATGCTGAGGAGGAGGAGAGCAATCTGACGCCCAACGTGAGTTTTCTATAGGAATCATGAATTTGTGTCAAGGAGTAGAATTAATTCATTAAGTACTAACCATTTCTTTTATATGTATTATATAGCAATACTTCGAGATCCGAAGTGGACGAGTGAATAAACTCCGACAGACGAAGAGCCCCAACCCATACCCACACAAGTTCCAGGTCACGGATGATGTACGAGAGGTCATTAAGCAGTACGAGTCACTGCAGAAGGGTGAGCAAGTCAAGGACAAAGAACTGCGCATCGCAGGACGGATCTATACCAAGCGGGCGGCAGGTGCCAAATTGATTTTCTACGACGTTCGTGCTGAAGGGGTCAAGATCCAAGTCGCATGCCAAGCGCAGAACGTGACGGGTGACGTATCCTTCGAGCACCAACATGAGCATCTGAGAAGAGGAGACATTATTGGCGTTGTTGGATTTCCAGGCCGCACTGCTCCGAAGAACCGCGCGGATGGGGAATTGTCGATATTCGCCACGGAGGTCGTGCTGCTCGCACCCTGTCTGCATCAGATCCCCTCGGAGCATTACGGACTTCGAGATCAGGAACAGCGCTATAGACAACGGTATCTGGACTTGATTATGAACGACAAGTCGCGGAATGTCTTCATCACCCGATCTAAGATGATCACGTACATCCGCCGCTTTTTCGATGAGCGCGACTTCATCGAAGTGGAGACTCCCATGATGAACACTATTGCTGGCGGTGCCACCGCTAAGCCGTTTGTCACGCACCACAACGACCTCAACATGGACATGTTCATGCGTATCGCGCCGGAACTTTATCTCAAGATGTTGATTGTTGGTGGATTGGAGCGCGTTTATGAGCTGGGTCGCCAATTTCGGAACGAAGGCATTGATCTCACTCATAACCCAGAATTTACCACTTGTGAGTTTTACTGGGCATACGCGGATGTCTACGATATCATGAACGTGACCGAGGAGCTAGTTTCTGGGCTCGTGAAGCACATCACCGGTGGCTACGAGACTACCTTCCATACCCAGACGGGTGAGGAGTACAAGATCAACTGGAAAGCTCCCTGGAAGAGAATTGAAATGATCCCCGCCCTTGAAGAAGCCACGGGTGAGAAGTTCCCACCCGGAGATCAGCTGCATACCATGGAGACAAACGCGTTCCTCAAGAAGGTCCTGAAGAAGGTCAATGTCGAATGCACGCCGCCTGAAACAAACGCGCGCATGCTCGACAAGCTTGTCGGCGAGTTCATCGAAGAGACCTGCATCAACCCGACCTTCATCACGGGCCATCCGCAGATGATGTCCCCACTCGCGAAGTACCATCGCGACCACGTCGGGCTGTGCGAGCGCTTTGAAGCCTTCGTGTGCAAGAAGGAAATCGTCAATGCGTACACGGAGTTGAACGACCCCTTTGACCAGCGTCTGCGGTTTGAAGAACAAGCCTCCCAGAAGGCCCAGGGCGACGACGAGGCGCAGATGATCGATGAGAACTTCTGCACGAGTTTGGAATACGGCCTCCCGCCCACTGGCGGCTGGGGAATGGGTATTGATCGACTTGTCATGTTCCTGACTGATAATTATAGTATCAAGGAGGTGCTGGCGTTCCCGTTCATGAAGGAGGAGAAGCATACAGGTGCAAAGGGGGAGAAGTTGGCGGCTGAGGTTGCTGGTATTGAACCATTGCCAGTGGAGGGAATTCGTAAGTCCAAGCAGAGTCCCCTTTTCCCTGCACTTTAAATATTTCATGAATACTGACTTTGGTTTACATCAGCACACAAATAAATGTTTAGTAAAGCATTGTGTCAATTTCATGAGTGATGACTATCTGGATATGGGAGTGGTTACGAAACAATGTTAAAAACTAGAAGTCAGTCATTCAATAGTTTCCCTTGTCATGGGCCTGGGATATCATTTATTTCTATTGCTGAAATTCTAAGGAATGCTAAGGAGTATCTTACTCAATATTTACGTGCTATGTTTCCCCCCTTTGAGTCCAGTTCCTATATTACGTGACAGGCATACATATATCAAAAATGAGGCGATGAGTATTTATTTATTTATTTTTTGTTTTCTATTTTCCTTTCCTTCAATGAAAGAATCTGCCATCCCCAACCCGCTTTCTTCCACATGGAACTCGCCGTTGTTCTATTGCATCCATGACCAAAAACAAAAGGAATCAACCCCAAGGCAAACAGAAATCAAAGGGAATAAATAAGGGAGCTCTTTTCTCTTATACTTCTTCTATTCTGTCGCCTTTTTTATTTTATTTTATTTTATTTTTATTTTATTTATTTTTATTTTTAATTTTCCCCTTCTTTTTTCCCTTTGCCTCTCGGTTTCCGTTTGTCCCTCAACATGGCCACAAGATCAATGAAAACAGCCCAATCCCCACCAGTCAGTGAGTGAACAATCTATAACTCTCTCTAATATGGCCGCCCCTAGTCCCACCCCTCATATAGTCACCGTATATTTCGTCATCTTTACATTTCCTATGTCTTTCTTGACACGGGGAATATATATATGACTACTGAGACTGCCATTTTCACTCCCTCCCAAGGACAAAATTTATTTCACCAGATGGCCACAGCAAATTAACAGCCTGGAAACTTCCCCACTGCGGTCAAGATGGCATAGAACAATATGCGTGAATATGACCTTTGCGCTCTATTTAAGCTGCTCTTCTCTTGCCAGTGGGGCTGCTTCCTCTCTCATACGTGCATTAATATCGCGATTCTTTATGTATTCTATCACCCCTTACCTATCCTTACCTCTGTTGACCCTGTTTCATCCACATAGGCCCATCCAACCGCTCCTCTAAGATACCTCCTCAGTTGGCGACGTCAAGAATCATTTCTGCGTTTTCGCCTTGATTAACTGGGAGCGTGAGATAATATTTTTTAGGCCCTTTCTCCATTTGTCTCTGTCGTTGTCTTTATCGTCTACACTTGAATCCTATACTAAGGAAGGCTCTTCTCGTGGAGAGAGTGTGTGTCTGTTTTCGCTGCTACATTTACCCCAGGCATCTTTGGACATTCAGCAGCATTAAAAAGATTGCGGGATAGTATTTGAACTACTAAACATTTCGATATCCTTGAGTTATTCTTTTACCAACTCACAATCTACCCACTTGTCTTACCGTATACCCTCATTCTTGATTCCCTCCTTCAATCAAAGAGATCCTTCGTGTCTCTCCTTTCTCTCGCTCCATTCTACATCCTCAAAGAACATACCACATCATTGTTCATGACAGGACAGCAGTGAAGTATCGTCAAGTAGCTGTTCTGCTTTTCCCAAACTGTTTTTAATATTTGGATATTTTGTCAACTCAGGGGCCTTTTGACCTCTGCCAGTTTGAAACCTATTCATCTACAAACTGTCTCATCACAACACACCACGCCCTCATTTCCTATCATCTTGCATATGACTCTGTCTCATTTAACATCCAGCAAACTTTAACGACTCCCTCTATTGCCTTCCACTATTGTCTCCCATCATCACTCTCCACTGCCAGAACAGGAATCCAGTCGAAATATTCACATTAAGTTCTCACCTATAGTCCACCCACTCGGATATATCACACCATGGAAGCAAAGAACTACTCATCCATCTTGAGAAAATTTTCATCGAAGCCCCCTCCATCCCGCTCCCGTCGCGAATTATCCTTTCAGCAAGTTGATTCGAGCTCACGAACCCATGCATCCAGCCGCCGTGCATCCAGGCGCACATCCCTCAAACTATCCCCACCACCGTCCAGCCCCGAGGACTCTAGCTTAAGTCGCCTAGGGAAGACGCCTGACAGAGATGTCTCCCCTCTGTCCCTCCCTTCACAGTTAGAAGTAGTTAAAAAGCCAGCCTCAACGCCAACAGTGTTAAACAATACTGCTCCGCCCCCGCTTCTTAATCCACATACAGCTGCTCCGCATACCAACTTCAAGCAGATTCTCATCCACACAGCGAAGTGTGACAAATGCAATAACCATAACAAGGCGATATTGCGACGATGTACGACCTGCGGGTTCCAGATATGCACGCCATGTTGGGTTAATAGGGGCGGTGGGCAGCACACGGCCACGAGGGTGTTTAGGGGGCCGGTGTTTAATCCCAATGCTGCAAATGATGAGGAAGTGGATCAAGGGGATGAAGGAGGTGATAACGAAGAGGATGAAGTCGGGGATGGTAGTATATCGGCGTCTGACGATAGCGACGATGTGGGGGATGCCATAGTCGTCTCCGATAATGAGAAGGAAGGTGGGGTCCTTTCGATACATTCGGTTGACGAGCCTGAGCCCCCTCCACGCCCTCCAAACCTTCGACATAACGATTTGGATATTCCGTACCACGATCCACAGACAGGGGAAGTCTCGCGACCCATGTACGCCTACAGTAGCGACCCACAAGCTACTAACTCTGAAGACACCAATGGTGCGAATGAACTGCCGGTAAATAAACGCACTCGCGCACGCTCTATCACCCGTCGATACACCCGTGGCACCCCTTCCAACCAGGCACGGAAGGACACCAGCGATGACGAGAGCCTTGTCGAAATCACCTGCGAGCCCGCGAGAGGCAAGATCAAAGACAGGGGCGGTCTCTATTACAGCGATTTGACACCTGAATCCCGCGAACGGATCGACATCCTCATCAGCACCGCCATAAACCTATTCCAAGGTGCCAGCTTCAACTCCTCCCAGAGCCAAGCCACCCACCCTCCCACCTCCAACAATTACCCCCTCCGAACCAACTCTCCCCCAATCAACTCACGCTCCCCCCTTTTCGTCCCCATGGAACCCAACGATCACCCCGCAACGGCGTACAACGCGCGTCTCTCACATGCCGGCACCCCCCGTGGAAGTCCTAGGACTAGTCATAGGCGCCCGTTCCACATGCCGCATGGGAAGGGGATGGGGGACAAAAGGCAGACGACCCGCCAGTCGCGGCCGCCTGCCCCCAACCCCCCTGCCCGGAAACGAAAAAGGGATTCAGGCGATGTTGAGAGGCGAGAGCGTATTTGGAGGGGCCCGTTTCTTGATGAGAGCTCTGATGAGGAGAAGGGGACGCGAGGACTCTAGGATGGAGAGGAACAGGGGTAAGATAGGGCATGTTGAGATGGTGAGGGTGCGTGCGGAGGTGGTTGAGCAACAACAATATAGTGAATAATGGTGGTTTGGAGTTAGGAATTTGCTTTTGTTATAAATACCAGGAGGGCTTGTGTGTGCAGTTTATGTCTTGGGATTTTTGGGATTTGGTTTAATGATGTGATGTCTGATGATTGGATGGATGATATTGTTGTTTGCACTGTTCAAATTTGTTCTGAGAATCTATTTTCATATCATGTCTCATCTTTTTGAAAAGAAGATGCAGAGGGATTGAAACATGAGATTTGATGAAATCTTCACTCCTTTTTCTTTCTTGTTTGCTGATGCATCTTTATATTTCCTGTAACTCTTGTTTGATCAGTTATATCATGCTGACCATATTCTGCAAGCTTCCTGCTACATGACAGCTGAATTTATAATCCTTGTTTGGCTCTGATTTTGGACCCTTTTATTTATCATTTACTGGAAATGAGCTAGCAAATACCCAACTCTGTTTCATGTTTCTCTTCTGCATTCAGGCGTTCTCTTTTTTGGTCGGCGCTGAGTCTCTCCTTTCGCCTCAGCAACAACAGCAATCCATTTTGTATCCTGTCTGTTTTTCTACTGCAGTATCTGACTTTGTCTTAATTGAAAAACTCCTTAACATCTCAAGATGTGTTATACCATTCCCTCTGTTCTCTGCTCTTATCTTCTTACGTTGCCATTCTTCGGCTTGTACTGTATCTTTATAACAGAGCCATGATATTACTTCCTTGTCCATCCACATAAGTATGCAGAACAGTGGGGAAAATAAGGAAATGTCATTTCTTTGATCTCTAGTTCGGTGGTTCGCGTCTTTCTTACCGTGTACGGAGTACCGCTTTCATTTTATTTGCTGTCTGCTTAACTCCCTATTCTTTGATGCTGCTGTGTAACTCGCCGTTTCAATATTGCTGTGTAGGAATATATAATACCTGCCACCATATGGAAGCAACATGGAGACAAAAAATTAAGGTATGATATATATTTGTTTGTGATTTTTCCTTTTTTTTTTTCCCCCGAGTTTTTCTATGGTAATTTTTGAGTCTTGCAGGGAGTCAAGCTTGGATGTTTGATGCCAGGATGTGAATATCTTGAAGGGTGTGAGGAGCCGGCGTAGATTAGGTAGACATGTTTTACAACTGATATTGTGATATTAAGATAATCATGCTAGAAGTGACTATGAACATGTAGATCGTTGGCTATCGGTGGATGAAGTATATACAATAGATGTGAGCGGGAGAAGAGAGGGGTGCAAAAGCAGAGATATGTGCGTGTTAAAAAGGAAATAGAGGGATAGATAAAATACATAGTATAAGAACACAAGAGAATATGAATGGAACCTTGCTCATCTGCAAAGCTCCACTAAATTTACGACACGCACGCGAGATACCATCCGGCCCCTATTGACCAGCAACAGGCTTTGGCACAGGTCCCTTATTCATCTTCGCTGCCATCTGTAGCAGCCGCGCCGTGCGCGACGGATGCCAGACTCTGCTCCCAAGCACAAGAACCCATGTTAAGAGCAACAAGCTACCAGTCTGATGTGCCGAGGCGAGATGCATGGGAACCAGATATACGAGCGTGGAGATACCAAGGGAGACCTGTAGGAACGTGAAGCCGACAACGCCGTGCATCCCTTTCTTTGCGACCTTGGGTAGTAATTGCTTAATAGCAGGGGAGAAGTGCGTATAGGCCCACAAGCTCATGACAGAGGAGAACGTCGTTAAGGCTAGGATGCGATGGTTGAGCTGGACCAGGGAGGGGTTTTCGAGCATGTTGCGCCACCATAGATCCGTCCTATCGGCCAGGCGCGAATATTGAGCGGAGAAGAGTTCTGAAGTGGGAGGGGCTAAGCCTTCGCCCATCCAGGGGAATTCGTTGTAGATAAGGCCTGCATCCAGACCCGCGACGAGCCCACCGGACATGACAGTGGTGAAGACGAGGAGGGCGAGGCCGGCAACGGATTTGCGGAAGACGCTGAGTTTGGGGTGGCGGAGGGCATTGAGGATTTCCATGCCGTTGGCGGGATCTTTGAGGAGGAGGTGGGAGCGGAGGATCGCGAGGCCGTTCCAGAGCATAGCCGTGTAGCAGACGAAGGCTGTGCCCAGGTGCGCGGTTAACCTGTACTGGCTCACTCTGGGATGGCTGCCGGGCGCGAAGAGGTCTTCCACTAGTCCTGACTTAACCATCCACCAGCCGATGAAGCCTTGGAATCCGATCAGGCCAGATATACCCAATAACCGTAGAGCCATTGGTTTGGTAACCCTCTTGGTTGCGAAGAAGTAGGCTGCTGGGAGGACGAAGGATAGGCCCACAAAGCGGCCCCATTGCCTATGTATCCACTCCATGTAGTAGATCGATTTGAATTCGGAGAGCGTCATATTCGGGTTCAGGACCTGGTATTCCGGTGAAGATCTGTATTTAGAGAATTCTGATTCCCAGTCATCTGCGTTGAATGGGGGTAAAGATCCTGTCACGGGTCTCCATTCTGTGATACTCAGTCTGGGAGGCATATATATGTTAGTTATGTCCTGGGTCTTCATTAAAGATTATCAACCCAGTGAGAGGTAGATGGGAGTGAAGTGAAAAACAAACCCGGATTCAGTCAGCCTCGTCAACCCCCCGAATACGATTAGCCCAAAAACAGATGCAGCACTCCCCAGCAACCAATATGCGACAATTTTACTGCTCACATCGGGATATTTGGATTTGCCGGCTGGGGTGGCATTAGTAGCAGCCTTCGCGGTGGAAGCGGAAGCGGAAGCAAAGGGCGCAGATCTCAGTATCGAGGAGCTTTGTATCCGTGCAGCAGCGGACGTAAAGGGCGTGAACCTAGGACCTGGAGCTGTGCGGAAAGGGAGCATGCCCACCCATCTTCGCGACGAACTGTTGAATTGAGGTTCCTTCCGCAGGCATTGCCGGCAGGTGAAGAACTGCTTTGGAAAGCGGGGAGCCAGGCTCCTAAACATAGGAACGGCAGAGGCCATTGTGGCAGTTGGCAGCCCGCAATGCAATTCCCGGTAGCATGCAATGCGTCGATATTTATCTATCTATCCAAATGCGAAATTTCTACTATTAAGAGGTTGAGGTCAAACTTTCCGCTGCCTGATTGGGCAGACCAGCGGGACGAATATGCACGTGATCGCCAAGCCCCTACTCCGCGGCAATATTTATCCGAACCACCATTGGAACTAGTTTAGTCAGCATGGTTTCGTCGAGTCACCGCCTTTGCTCTTTGGGCTTGACTGCGTTGGTTTGACGACGACGACGACGTTACTTGACTCGACTACGTTGACGCTTCTGTATGGCCGCTTTGGCTGCGATGTGTCCACCTGGCGGCGTGGATGGGCTCCAAATGCACCCGTTGACAAGTAGGAATAGCTGGTTGCACGGGATGTATACCCGCTGAGGGGGACCCAAGGCTGCCCTGCCCCGTGATATCATGCTATTCTTTTTCTGAAGGTTGCTTCACTGTTGTTGCTGTTGGTAGGTGTGCCTTACCACATCATATCAACCCAATATGAGGAACAACTCCACTTCTCATATACTTCGTGATTGGAGAACCAGAGGACCCTTTCTCCGATGTTCATGCAGCCGCCGGCTGAGTTTAAAATATGTGAGGTTATCGGAACGAGCGCTTGAGAGATGGAGCTCGGTATAAGATATCCCTCTCATCTGCTCTGTTGTGATTGCACCAAGTACCAGTATAAGCATTGAATTCTTGTATATTTGATTTCATGCTATTTCTTTATTTTTTAGGTCAAAGAGTGACTTTCTGTTAAGACAATGCACAGAGATCGACAGAGATACAGTGCTGAGTGGCAGAAAATGATGCCCAATTCAGTCACTACCAGCAATTATCATCATCACAATACTTCACAGTTTGACAATGATGGCCATCAATCTTATCAATCTCTCCAGAACCACCTAGAGAAAAAAGTGTTGTTGTCGCCTTTTTCATCGAAACAGGAAGACAGCCCTTTGCAAAATGTGAAAGCTCCAATGAACAACTGCTGTTCATCCTCATCCATTTCCTGCAAAAGCCCCTTAATCCACCCGAGTCATTACTGTCCTGTACAGGTTATCAGTGCTCTGATATCCTCATTGTCGAAAGACATAGGCAGAACGCGAAGCTGTAAGCGCGCCCCACCTACGGCTGCCTCTGCCACCCTCCCATTGCCATCGAGTGTTGTTCGGCCTCAGAAGTCCAGACGGGCGCGCAACAAGTCCGCCTCCAGCAGTTTAGAGTCGCCTTCATCGGAGTGGCTAAACTTGATAAGTTCATGGCCAAGGAAAGCACAGGTTTCCCGAGAAACCGCAAATCCACGCTCCTATGCCGCGTTAACCGCGGAAGCTAGCCTCAACGCTGATTTTTTGGATTGCGACTACACCATGGCAGATCCCGCCTCTGTAATAGGTAAAATGCCCTTCCCCCCCTGTCCCCCTCCTCTTATAGAATGACTGATTGTGATTTCTTTGTTTAGCTGGAGCGTATCTTCCCATTGGCTCAATATCTACAGTGACGGTTATGCCTGGCGGTGCTGTAGAATGTAAAGCCGATGTCACCGTTAACGCTTTTGAGTCAACTTACAGTTTGCATCGCTGTATCCTCGAGAGAGTCCCTTACTTTGCTGCCATGCTTTCCGGCCAATGGAATGAAACTGGCAACCACGTACTTTCAATCTTTCCCGATGAAATGGACCCAAACATCACGAGAGTGGGATTTGAAGTTGCTCTTGAGTATATGTACGGTCGGAAAGTTATGGACTTGATCGAATTGGATCCTATCGGGGTATTCGCCGCCTGCCAATGGTTAGATCTCTCTGAGCCGTTGAAATGGGCAGTTCAAAATATCATGCACCACTTGGATATCTCGAACATCCATTTGATTTTGTCTATATTCACTGAATATCACTATGGGAAGGAAGGAAGAGTGGTACTAGATGCTGCGAAGTCTTTACTGCGCCTACGTGGCTGTGAAATGCCACTCGCTGTTTGGGATCACATCCCCGCGGAGATCGTCAGAGACATAGTTGGTGGCGATGCGTTTTACATGCCCTCCGAGCTCAAGCGGTGGGAGTACGCAGTGTCCCTTCTAGACCGAGTTCTGGAGTCTAAAGCCTCGAAAATGCGAATCCCCTTCTTGAACGACAACGCCTCAGCTCCTGCCCATGTTAAACGTCAATTGGAAGGCATCCTTCCCGATGACCCTCCGGAAGCCGACACGGACACGGAGCTGGATTTTGAAACGGATCGCCAATTCTCGGAAGATATGCACAATCAGTGGCTCAATCTCTACACGCACCCGGACATCCTTCCTATCCGACAAATGATTATGGAAGACATTGCATACATGCACATCCCGCTTGAGCATTTTCGAAGAGTTCAGTCTCATCGTGACATCTTCGGGGTGCGTCCTGTTCAGCCGGCTGTGATCCATTCTGCGTTTGTACAGGCATTAAAGCTTGCGCACCTGGTCGATACTGCTGATGAGTTCAGCCTGAAATTGGATATCGGACATGCTACGTTCATGAGCGAGTTTCCCGCACGCCAGCGCTCGCAAATACACCGTTTCCACATAGATTCCGGCTTTTACCCATGCTCCATGCCTGGTGGGGATGTGATCCGCCGCGAATATCCTGTTACGAAGGAAGATACAACAACGTCGAACCTTACAGTTACGCGTAAGGCAAGAGGGTTTATTCATCAGGACTGCAACAAGCACGCAGGGCAACAAGGATTCCGTACCAGTCATCTCGTTATGGGCTGGGAACGTCGCGATTTCATAAAACCACTGCCAATCAATTCCACTGTCACGCATCCTGACCACAGCCCCTTTCCGCCATTTAGATTCTCAACAACCTTTCCCCACCCGGCCACACTGGAAAATAGGCAACGATTATTCTCGTCTCCTTTCTGGTACGCAGGTGCAACATGGGTCCTCTATCTCTGCCACAACACCATCCCCAAAGCGAGCAGCGTAGGACTCTACCTCCGACGCATCTACGACACTCGCCCCGCGGAACCTTCTCTGGAAAGCTGGAGCTCCCGCATCAACCCACCAGGCATGGCCCACTACGAACCGCTCGTCGCTTGCCACTCCAGACCCAGCAACCCCCACCTAGACGAGCCGTCCAACTATTACAACGAAGCTTACCCAAGACTCGATCTCGTCGGAGATAGGTTCGGGTCCCGAAACGGCGTGGGACACTCTCTTGGGCGCGAGAGGGATACCCCTGCCCTGCTCCCCTACGTCGACATTCGCTCTTCTGTCACCGCGCACTTCAAGCTATACTCCAATTTCGTGTGTGCGGGACAGCCAGCGTGCTTTCAGAGCAAGCCGGAGCAGTTTCAGATCGATAGGTGCTGGGGGTGGGATGTGCGCGTGCCTGATGGGCAGGAGCCGTTGTTGGACCTATGTGGTAATCCATTGAATGAGAGGCAGTTGAAGATTTGTTTGGTTATTGGTAGGTGATGTTCTTAGCTTTTCTTGATTTCCCCATGCTTTCTTTCATCTTGGTTCATTGTTTGAGTTATTGGTATCTGTGTGTACTCATTTGGCTGACTCTCTTACCCTTTTGTTTTTTTTAGGCATCCTGTGAGGTGTGGTAGTTAATGGCTAAGAAAAATAATCATATAGTAAATATGACTGCCTCTTCAGTTGTGTCTAATGATCATCTTCACTATTTCTTGTCTCTTTTCAACATCTCTTATTTTCTGTTTCAAGTTCTTCTAATCTTCAACTTCACTTGTTTCTTGTTTCTATGTCAAACTTCTTTATATGTGCCTCTCTTTTCTTCTCTTTCCTTCTCTTTCTTTTCTTTTTCTTTCTTTTCTTTCTTTCTTTCTTTCTTTCTTTTTTTTTTTTTTTTTTTTTCACATATCTCACTCTTCTATTTTTCAATTTAGCTTTCACTTCAGATGAGCTCTCAATGAATCATGAAATTTCATCTGTTATTTTAACTACTTTGTGTCAATCATCACATTAATTTTTTAGTTTGTTTATCTTTCTTATGCTTTTCTTATTCAATTGAAATTTCTTATTTAATATCTAAGCTCTCAGCATATTTTTTTGTGTCAATGTAAATATTCATAATTGATTTTTTGTCTTCTGCTCTGTTGGCCCTTACGGCCGTTGCGGTTAGAGCTCTTTTTCGTTTCTTTTTCTCTTCTCTTTTCCTCTTTTCTTTTCCCTTTTCTTTTCCTCCCCCCCTCTTTACTTTAGTGAAGCAAGGTTTGCTTTCAACCTGTATTCTCCTGTTGGCTGGATTTCATTCTCACTTTGTTCATTTGTTCTATTCTTAAAATTCCCGCGCCCATTCTTCCTTATTTCTGTTGTCATTATCTTCTTGCGTAATTTAGGATGCCTCTTTAGAACAAGTGCGCGTTAAGGAAAGCTTTTGCTGAAGGGTGGCGTTTTCATTTAATCTTCTTGTTGACTTTCCCATTCATTTTCCTACAGCGCTCAATCAGTCCTTTTCTGCGAGATAGTCCATGGTTTATATTCTAACTAATTTGTTTCCTATCCATGTTTCACTAAGGACTGATAACATATCTAAGCAAAGTAAAATAAAATAAAGAATTAGAACAAGTTGTTCTTGACAGTTCATTTCACCAAGTGAGCACCATCTGACATAACTTATTCGACGTTGCGGTGGGGAACCCGCTGAACCGACCCAAAAATCTGACGCGTTGGTCCGAACGTTGAACGAGGATCTATCGGTCTCGTTCAGCCCCAGCGAATCAGAGGGTTCAAGTCCGTCGTGAGAAAATATCAGCTCATCATTGGCAAACGCGAAACCTGGGGCAGACTGGGTCTGTTGGTCCGGCCATGGTCCCATAGCTATCTAGGTAGAGTCAAGCCCCTGGTAGCACACCGCTTGCATTGTGGGGGCGCGCAAATCGGAGTGGCGCTTGGCCTTGATACACGAAGAGCAGACTTTTCTGCGGGGAGCCAGCCATTTTTGCTACAGCTGCGGAGGAATCCTGCATCGAAAACGAGCGACATTTGACTCCGTGTTTCTTTTTTGGATGGGATGAAGGCCCAGAGTTCTAGGGAAGGGCTGGCTGACTAAGGAAGGGCTAAGTAAGTAGGGCGCTAAGTAGGGCTCTTGTCCAGAACAGGAAAAGTCGGCGGAAATCCACCAACTCAACTCCGCAACCTCACTCGATCTCCGCCAGCAATTGTTGCTTGATATTAACGGAGCTCCGCTTGCGCACGGTTTAGGATAATCCAGCACCCATCTTTTAAAACACCATCCTTTTCTCGAGAATACAAACCTCTACCGCGCGACATGTAACTATTTCAGTATGCGAGCAAGGAGAGTCCGGCCGGGTTGGAAATTATAAAGAGCGACAAGCCTCCCTCACCTTTATCCCTAAAAATTCGGATGTTTTTGGGCCCTATTTATTCATCGGATCTACATATCAATTAAGACAAGCAGTTAAGGAAAGGCGAAAACTGCTCTGCTACATGCTCCAGAAGGGATCGCCAACACGATATCACTGCAATGTCATTGCAGACGAAGGTAGGTCAAAACCACCGGCTTAAGAACCGGCAGTGGACTAGGCGCACAAGCAATTGCCATTATTTCAGAGTGAAGAGGCGGGCTTACGTCCGCGATCGCAGTCGTGGAATTCGACGAAAAAATTTGTGTATATAATCCACAGGCCCATTCCACTTTTACTTACAAGATGTCTTCTCCGGATATAACAAGTTCCTCCGAGCTAGCTAACTCGTCGACTCTCGGGCTTAGTGAGAGTCGAATATGCCGTAATCAGCTACAGCCGAAGAGCACGCATGGTTGAGAAATGGGTTTTGACCGCGGTGGTTCGGGAAATACATAACACAACCTCACCGCTACAACCCGGAAGGGCGGTAGAACGAACGTAGCCCCTTAAGCGTGACACCACTGGATCCATCATCAGGTTGCAGTACTACTCGGCCTCCTTACGCCTCGGAAATAGAACGGGGAGGAAGCACGCTCCAGCGGCAAGTGATGACAAGAATGCCCAGACCTGGATGTGATAAAAAAAAAATTTGATAATGGTGACTATGTTGTTTTACTGTAGTACACTGATTAAGGCAAGAACTCAACATCCTCGGCCTGGTACCAACTGCTTCTAGTAGTCATTCGGTCCTTACCGTTTCCTCTCTCAACAACAGCAGTTCTTTCTGGCAATCCACCCATTATATATACATCTACCGCCTGATATATCCAAACGAAGAGCTGGCTGGACGATCAAAAACCATACGTCATATGCCGCCACAAAATTGTCGAAAATAAAGAAAGAATAAATCATCCAGCAGAATTCGCATGATATACAGCACAAATGATGCGATTATAAAGAAAAACCAACCAAAAATGCGTAGAGAATAACAAAATTGACGTCATCTATAGTGTCGTGTCGCGTGTTTTTGCTTCTCTAAATCAGATTACCACGCAGCGCCTGCTCGCGCTCGATGGCCTCGAAGAGGGATTTGAAATTCCCCGCGCCAAAGCCAGAGAAGTTGTGGCGTTGGATGATTTCAATGAAGACGGTGGGACGGTCCATGAGGTGCTGAATATCGCCGTTAGCATGATTCCAACCAGCAGCCCCCATAGGCAGGACCTGACGGGATGAAGGATTCTAGGAGCGAGAGAGGGGATCCTACCTTGGTGAACAGCTGCAACAAATACCCGCCCTCATCAAAATCAATGAGAATATCCAAACTCTTCAAAGCCTCAAAGTCCTCCTTCAACTTCATCCCGCCCCGTTCCAACCGCACCTTCATATCCTGATAGTATGTCTCGGGAACTTTAATGAACTCGACACCGCGCGCTTTCAGGTTCGTGATGTCGCGGATGATATCGTCCGATCGGAGCGCGATGTGTTGGACGCCGGCACCGTTGTAGAAGTTGATGTATTCTTCGATCTGGGATTGTTTCTTGCCCCTTGCGGGCTCGTTTATGGGCATTTTTACACGCTCGTTGGGCGAGGCCATGACGACAGATTTTAGGGCGGAGAATTCGCTGGGGAAGGGTTGTTTCTTGTTAATTGGATATGTTTAACTAATACGGAAGAGAACAACACATACGTGCAGATATCCTTATCATCGACGGACCAGAATCGGTGGAAGCCTAGGGCTTTCTCATAACTGAAATAGGGGGGTTAGCAGGTTCCTCCCTTACACGCCGTATCAGAAATGAAGGGGGAAATATTACTATTGGCAAACCCTGTCCATCTCATCCCAATCCTGGTTGCCAACGCAATGATCAACATGCAGCAGCGGGACTGGCGGTAGATGTCTTGAAAGGGGATCCTTGGCCGTCTCCTCTCGATAACCGGGCAAGAAAACGCCGGAATATCCCGCCCGTTCGACCAAAGTATGCGTCGTCTCGCCGTATGTCTGTATGGTAGCCACTTTGACCACCCCCTGTTTATCCTCCAGCATCTTAATGCCCGACACAACCGTGGCCCCATTCCGCACCGCGGCGTTGAAAACAGCCTGAACATCATCGACCTCGAACGCAACGTCCTTCACGCCATCGCCGTGCTTTTCCAGATGCGTATGGATCTCCTTTAGCAGCGCCTGCTCCTCGTCGTTGAACTGAGAGAGGTGGTCTAGTGATCGCAGGGGCGAGGTCAGGACGAAGGTAATATCGCCGTTGCCGACGACGTGCGAGGCGACGACCCTGGATCCGGTCTCCAGGCCTCGGTATGCGATTTTCTCGAAGCCCATGCGGGCTGTGTAGTAGGCGGCGGCCTGTTTTGCATTGCCCACGTACCAGTGGACATGGTCGTAGCCCTTGTAGCTGGATAGATCACCGTTGGTTTGTCGGCGTGGACTGCCGGGTGGGGAAATAGCAGCGGGAGCCATGTCTACGTAAATATATATATGTATAAATCCCGTTCTGGAGTGTTTTTTAAGTGTGTGCTATGTGTTTCACTGTGACACCGTGACACAGTGTCAACTCGTGCTGTGTTTTTTTTTAAAAAGGAATTTCGATCTGTGATGGAGACGAGAACAAGCTAGCTATCCCCAGCGATATATATACACATCCATCTAGCCTGTTCTGATATCCACGCTGGGCAAACGGTCTGCCGGCAGTGGCAGCCGCGGGTCCCCGGCGAAATATGCCATGTAACTAGCCGATAAGATAAGGGCCATGCCCCGTGGTTCCGGGGTGCTTTGCTGTGTTTCCAGGGTTGCTGGTGCCCATAGCATTACCCATCACCGCTGCTGAGGCACTTTTGGCTACTTTCGGCGAGCGTGGCAATCGCCCGGCTACTGTCGGGGCGGAGGACTGCGCACCAATCACAGCCGGCGCCAATACCGAACCTATCCTGGGCGCTCCGGCAGTGCGGTTGCCATACAAAAAGTAGGTAGTTAGCCGTCGCCCAGCTTGGAGTCTGGGGGCTATATGCAACCTCTATATATTAAAATATATAGAGAGACATATTATTTGCTCCCCAACTAAACACCCTCCAGCATCAACTATGAAATAGTTGTCAAATGTCAAATTAACTATAACCAATACCACAAATTAATATAATCTAGAATACTACCGCTAAAAATGGCAACCGCAACGACAGCAGTAACCGCCTCAGCCCCCCATCTCTCCGCCAACGACTCCGCCGTCCTCCAAGCCCTCTTCGACGCCGAATCTTCCCTTTCAAACGCTTCCACCGGAATCCACCTCGACTCTTCCCTTCCTCAGCAGCTCCCCGGCATATCCCCCGCCGAACTCTCAAAACTACAAGCGCTGGAACGCGCCGCGATACTCCCCTTGCAGGCAGAGACAACAGGCAGAGACACAATCAGAGATGCCAACAAGATAAGAGCGGCCGTGGCGAAGCTGACAGCCATCATTGAGGAGAACAAGGGGTATGCGTCTGCGTATGTGAATCGGGCACAGGCGGCGAGGATGCTGGTAGAGAGTGGGATGGATGGGAAAGAGAAGGATGAGGAGGAGCAAAGGGAATTGGCAAACATGATCTTCGCCGACCTCTCGACGGTCATTTCACTACTTAGCCCATCTCCTTCCTCTTCCTCGTCCTCTCCCTCCCTCTCTTCCGCATCACAGCATCCATCCCCCCTCAGCCCCCTCCACGCCCGCATCCTCGCAAACGCCCACACCCACCGCGCCTACATCGTCTACCGCGCCGCGCGGGCCCTCGACTCCAAACCACCTCCTCCCTCTATGAATAATAATAATAATAATAATGATAATACTACCTCTGGCACTGCCACACTAACAACTCTACCCGTGCACCTCCGCGACAAATCCGCCCAGCACCTGGAGGAGATGGCCAGTATGGATTTCCAGTTGGGCGGGCGGTATGGGAACGAGATTGCGCGCCAGATGGCGGTTAAGACGAACCCGTATGCGAAGATGTGTGGGGCGATTGTTAAGGAGGCGATGAGGAAGGAAATGATGGTTCACCGGGGGGAGGGGGAGGGGGAGGGGGAGGGGGAGGGTTTTGTGGTGTAGATATATGTCGGGGGTATGGTGGTGGTGGTGGTGCATTTGTTTGTTTGGTTGAGTCGTTGCCTTTTTTATGTATTGTTTATTCTGGGGGAGGTACACACAGTATATATGTAACTTAATAATGTATTAGATTAGATTGCAGTGATTGATTGGCATTGGGTGTGGTGGTGGTATCTGGCTAAGATGCACAGTTCGGAAGAAGTTGAATATCATAAATCAAATCGTCCACTTTAACTATTCCTTGCTATTGAAGTAAAATACGTAACAACGTGAGTGATATATCGAAATTGTCGAAAATAGCTACTAACCCACTCATGATGAGCGTAAACGTTATAACCTACAATCAAATCAACTAACTACCAGCCCCTTCTTCTTCGGATTCTGGAAATTACGCTTCAACGGCATCCAGCTCTCAGCGTTATAATCCTCCCGCACCTTCTGACACGTCTTCAGCCCCCACTCTGACACCCCAACCATCAAGCAACTACATTCAACAATACACACGTTAGCAAAAGCAATTCACACATATAGAAAGAGGGGAATAGAAGTAAGTAAATGGTAAAGAGAAACGCTACAAACCTCTCAAACATAAACGCCAAACTCCCCTGCCCAACCTTCTTCGGCGACAACTCCGCCTGACTCGCCGCCTGATGCGTCTGCGCATCCGGCCCATGCGCGCTCATCACATTATGCAAACTGGCCCCCGCAGGTCGGAACCCCCCGCCAATCTTCGCATCATAATCACCGGAAATCAGGCCCATGAACTCTGACATCGTGTTGCGGTGGTACCAGGGCGGGCGGAAGGTGTGTTCGGCCACCAGCCAGCGCGGGGGGAAGATCACAAAGTCCGCAATGGCCGTGCCGACGTGGTCTGAGGGACCCGTGAGGACGGTGAAGATGGATGGGTCCGGGTGGTCGAAGGAGATGGAACCGATGGTGTTGAAGCGGCCTAGATCGTATTTGTAGGGGTAGTAGTTGCCGTGCCAGGCGACGACGTCAAAGGGGGTGTGCGATTGGCGGGCGGTGAAGAGGGTATTGTTGAATTTGCTGTGGAGGCGCCATTCGGGTCGTGTAGCGCCTTTGGCGACGGCTTCGTCGTCTTCGTCGTCGATGAAGCAGGCGGTTGGGGCTTGGAAGTCGCGGGCGTTGGCGAGTCCGTTGGAGCCGATAGGGCCCAGTTCGGGGAGTTGGTAGTGGCCCTGGTAGAGTTCACAGATGTAGCCGCGGGCAGGGCCGGTGGGGAGAGCGACGCGGTATCTGCTTGGTATATTAGCGGTTATTTCACAAATGTGGAAGAGATACCTTCATTTTATATATATTAAATTGGGTAGGATATAAAAACTAACCTAACACCGCGGGGAATGACACAAATCTCATTCGGACGCACGAGGAGTTTCCCCAGCTCAGTCTGGATATCCAAAACACCATGCTGCGGCACGATCAGAAAGTCCCCGTCCGCCGAATAAAACGCTTCATTGCCCATGTCCTTGCCTACAGCAAAGATGAGGATTCCCAAGCCAGTCTTCATTGCAGGTTCTCCTGCGCCAGCAACCAGATGCAGCCCATTCACCCAGTCAACGTCCTCGTTGAAATCGAAGGGGTTCCATCGCAGCTGGTTAGGGATCTGTTTGAGAGAGCTGGCATCCTTGGACAGGCTGGTGTGGTAGGTGGAGGAGTCTACTTCGACGAACGGTTGGTGGGCGGCTGAGGGTAAGATCCGGTAGAGCCATGTTTGCTGGTTCTCATGGCGAGGAGCGGTAAAGGCTGTGCCGGAGAGCTTCTCTGCGTAGAGGCCGTAGGAGGGCATCTGTGGCGAGTTCTGCCCGATTGGTAAGGCGCCTTCAATGGCTTCCGACCTGGATGCGGGTGGATGTCAGTTTCGCGGGGGATTGGCAGAATGGACTCGGAAGGTACCCATCTGGAGCTTACTCGTGATAGGAGCCGAAGCCATTGAGGTAGGTGTATTTCTCCGGCGTGGAGAAGTCTGAGACGGGCATGATGGCGCTGTATGTATATATATCTATATATATATATTGTGAGTGTGTGAGTGTGTAAGTGTTGGCTGTGTATGGGTGAAATTACCGAATCTAGCTCACTGAGCCCAGTGCGTGAGGAGAAGGAAATGGTTTATGTAGGACAGAATTTGAGAAGATGGTGACAATATCCATCTATCGCTTGCAAGTCCGAACGAAGCCTCGATGTTGCATCTTCAACCCGCACGGGCGCATCATGCTGACGTCATCCGGAATTGTTGCCGTTGTTGCGCTTTCGGCTGCAGCAGCTAGCGCGCTCTTCTGCAGTCGGTTCAACCGACGATAAGCGCGCGGAAGCAATTCCGGAAATGCGGGGCGGGTAGAATTGTCAACAAGGGGAAGTCTTAGCCGCCGCTCATGGCTTCTGGCCCAACGTGTCGAACGGAATCGCCAGAAATGTATACAATCTCCCCCATCCCGACAATCCTAACCCATCATCTCATCGCAGACCAACTTCGCTCCGGAGAACGCATGTTTTGGCATGGCATCCATTCCCGCATTTAGCTATTTATTCTGCGAAAGAGGCGCGCTTTTTGAACGTCTGAAGTGAAGCCAGCCGCTTCTCTGAGCAAGCAGCTCCAAATCTCTCTCTAGTTCGATTATGGAAAACAAAAACAAGGGAAGAAACCAGTGCACCAGCAGAGGTCAATGCTTCCGGTGGGATCCCCATTTATGATAAAAAGTTATAGCAAATGCTCCTCTGTCTCAAATCAGGCATGTCTCAAGAGTGTTAGCTGGCTCAGGCCATTTCATCATTCAATAGCGCTTCCCATGCTTACCTATCAGTATCCCTATGCCACATCCCCCACGTGTCCTTAAACTCGCCCTTGCCGAAAAAGCACAGGAAAACATCTCCAGTTTGGATTGGAGTCTCAGCTCCTCCTGCACTTGTCACCTGTGGAACAGCAATCCACACGCTCGCCATACGCGCAACCAGCCGACACCATGATGTGGCGGGAACTGGTCATTTTACAGCTGAGGCTGAGATCATCCCACAACCTGGGAACTCTCCTCCGCAATATACCCAGATTGGGGCAAAAACTCAGCGACTGTATAACGGTCGCGTATGCTGCAGCTTTCATCCGAGGAGATCAGGGAAATGATTGGCCGTGTATCAATGATGGTTCTATATTCCATTCATCAATCGCCATTTCGACTCTCCGGATTGGTTGGCTGGATGTTGTAATGGGATATTTCAAAGCCCAATTTGTGTAACTTGCGCATCATTTCTTCTCACGGTGGAAAGCCAAGAAGGCATAGCCGTACGGAATACAATGATATATGGAATACATGTACATGGATGTATGTACTAAACGTTTCGTGTACCTAATCGATCTGTGCCAGGGCACAGCTAATTTTTGGACATGAGATCCACAATCTGATATCACCATCACCATACCATACCTGTCTTCAGCTCACATGATTGACTTTGGATGTCGCATCAGGCAAAAAGCCGGTTTGAATGCATCAAAATATTTTTACTGCTTTTTAGGAGGAGCGTCGCCGGTAAATATTTTAGATGTTTGATATTTTGGAAAGTTTTACCTATTTTGCTTGGACCTGTCAGACGCACCTTGCAGATGCAGGTTGACTTAAGGATCACAGCCCGATACAGGGATATCAGGTTGCATGTCTACTACGCAGACGGGACTAACAACGGATCCCACATCTGAATATTCAGATCGAAAATGTCATTTTCCTTCCTTCACTTCATTTCACTTTTTATACCGTTCTTCTTGATGACAAATTCATTCCTTTGTCACTCTGTCTCATCATATCTTATTTTCTTCAAAGGAATTTCCTGCGTTTTTAATAGCTTAGAAGAATCCCATACCATACCGGACATCATGCCGAAGCACCTGGTGAGATGACGTCTATACATGTACGGACCTTCTGAGCAGAGGGGATCGGATCCGAAGGCGACAGAAAATAAAATTACCGGCAGAGAGAATGTCGAGTAAAGCCGTGTTTATATCGAATAATCTTGCCAGCGAGCAATTGGTAGCTTGTCTTGCTCGTCCATCCCTGGCAAACGGGGTTGAGGCTCCGCCAAGTATTGAAGTTGATTGGGATGGAGAGGAGGGGAGTTGAGGTAGCTGGATCATTATTTTCGGCAAAATCACTTTGACCAGAGCATCAAGGTCCTAGCGTTTCAAGTTTGTTAAGACTCTACTAGCTAGCAAATGGTGAGTCCGGCATCTACTTATCTCTACTATTGAATCATAGTGTTGTAACAGCGGGATCACCGACAAGGATTAAGGTGTGACTTTTGCCAAAAAAAAAAAATACGTGGAAAATACGTGGGGCTTCTCCGTCGATGAATTAGTTTGGAAAACCAGCCCTCCCACGTTTCATTTATCGACGGATACGAGTAAAGAGATGCAGTCTGCGCAGAACCGGGAAATGATACCCTGCCGGATCAGGATCTTGGGAACCTAGCAGAACTAGGGCTATTGGCTCGCCAGCATCCGTCCACGAGGCCAAAATAAATATCCGGGACGAATTGAATGATTTCAAAAACATCCCTGCTGGAGGATCTGCTTTCGCCGAGCTACCGGGCAAGAATGACTATCTTTGCATTTGGACATGGGTGCGACGTGGCGCATAGGGTGACAGATATGGAATCCTGGGACGGACGAGCTGAGGGTGGGCATGGGCCCATTCCAAAACGCTGGGTAGGGTGGATGTAACGTGGTTATCTTTATATTCTATATATACTGGCACCCATTCCAAAAAGGGGCGGGCCGCAATACTCGAGATATTGTCCCTGTCGATCAGCATAACTTTGGTGGCCGGTATCACGACTATTTTCTACTCTTTATACCCTTCCAAGTTGAATTAGTCTCTGGGGTTAGATGACGGAATGGAGATCCTCCAAGCCCGGCGGCCTCTAAGGGTGGTTGTTGTTGGGTAAGGAATTTTTGAAATCATATTGCTTATATATACTTGATTGTCGCTGTTGTCTGTTGTTGCCCTTGCGCTTACGATATGAGATAGAGCAGGTATGCAAACTCGCAATCGGTAGACGATGGGGAGGGATCATAGGAAAACGATATTAACTTGTGGCCCGTCCCTTTTGAAGGCATTGGAGGCCTCGCGACCGCGATTTCTTTGGCAATCCGGGGACACAGGATTCTCATACTCGAATCTGCCCCCCAGGTATGGGTTGATAAGCCACCAGTTAAAGGCATCGCCAGGCTGAAATAATCATGGCTTATTTGTGTAGATTCGGGAGCTAGGCGCGGGAATTCAGATTTCCCCGAACATGCGAAGCGTCCTTCGGCGTAAGTGATCTGACATGATTGACATTGGCGGATCCACTTGTCAACATTTCCTATTTTAGGTTTGGGAGTTGAGCCGGCGATCAAAAAGACCAGCGTTGTCCTTGAGCGCATCCAAGTCGTCCGATGGCAGGATGGACGAGTCCTGAACGAAACTGCCGTTAACCATCAGTACGGCGAAGCTGCCGCCATTCACCGTGGAGACCTCCAAAAAGCCCTCCTTGACAGAATTTTGGAGCTAGATAATATTCAAATACGAGCGGGTGCCACCGTTACTGATATCGACTTCGATCTTACAGCAGTTCACCTACAATGCGGGAAGGCAGTATATGGTGATGTAGTTATTGCAGCTGATGGTATCAAATCCACTGTCAGAAGGAAGATGTTTCCAGGTATCGGTCATAGAGTACAGCCTAGTGGGGACGTAGCTTTCCGGATCCTCATACCACGTGAGAAAATGCTGGAGGATGAAGAGACTGCGAAGTTAATAAACAAACCACAGGCAGTGCGATGGGTTGGTCCGCACCGGCATGTCATCGGCTACCCGATACGGAACCACCAGCTGTATAACTCTGTCTTCGTCCATCCTGACAACGGGCCAACTGGCGAGTCCTGGACTATCCCCGGGACAAGAGAGGAGATTATGGAGGCGTTTGGTGGGTGGGATCCCCGACTTTCAAAGCTAGTTGCGTCGTCCACGAGTGTGTTAAAGTCAAGACTCTGTTTGCATCCGCGATTGCAAACGTGGGTAAAAGGCTCCTGCGCCCTGGTTGGGGATGCATGTCATCCTATGCTGTAAGTTGCACGAACAATCGAAATTTGTAGGCTTGATGAAAGTAAGGGGTATATATAGGCCAACGCTTACTGGTCGTCATAGACCTTACATAGCACAAGGTGCCGCTCAAGCCCTTGAGGATGCAGCCGCTCTTGGGGTGGTATTATCCCAAATAGAGACGGCGAAAGACGTCCCATTTGCACTGTACGTTTATGAGAAGTGTCGAAAAGCCCGCGCAGAACGAATCCAGCAATCTGGCACCGATATTCGAATCGAACTGCATCTTCCTGACGGGCCAGAGCAAGTCAAGAGGGATGAGCGGTTTGCAGCTGCAATGAAGGGCGCCAAGAATCCCGATACGTGGAACGACAGGGAGACACAGAGAGCAATCTGGGGCTATGATGCGGAAGAGGCAGCGAGGAAGTGTTGGTCTTCCTCACGGGGTATAAAAGGGGCCATCTAAGAAGGACACTGTCCAAGCCCATTTCCAATACTGTGTAGCATTGCTAACTCGGCTGAACTGATGATAGAATTCACAAGAAGAAAGGGGTGGGGTGGATAGCGTAGTTGGTGAAAGCGCTGTCCATGGAGGGCTCATGGGAAGTAGGAACTGACTATAGGGGATGATCCTTCTTAGACATCAGGGTTGCAAGGTTCAAATCCTGTCTCTATCACAAAATGATTTTATCATAATCTATTGATTACATTCACAATCTGAGATCAGTTCTTGACTATAGAGAGTTAATCAATAGATTAGAAGAAAATGATTTTCACTATATAAATAATTTGCGGAGCGAAGCGAAGTAAATATATGATGAAAACCCTGGTCATTAAAAGTGGAGAATTTCCTTTTTGAGGTTCTTGACATGAATACAGCTCACTGATTGATGTAGAATTAAGTGAAGCACAATTCTGTGATATTTCACTATGACTGCATCTCTGTACATTCATAACATGTTCATCTTTCATCTTATCTTTCATCTACTTCATACAGATTCTTGAATAATAGATTATATATCTCATTAACTATCTACTCTATACAGATTCTTGAATAGATAACATATCTGATTAATTATCTCTCATAGATTCTCAAGAATGAATAACATATTAAAAGTCTGTATTCACTGCTTATAAAATTAGTCTCTTGACTAATTTATTTCTTTATAGTATTTTACTACTTCTACAGCTATCTGTCATTAATATCATACTTAGAGAATTTATATATTATAATCTTCTCTTATTACATCTTTTCTATCACTGATTATCTCTTTACACTGTGTAGAACTGTAAATAAATATATATAGTAAAATCAGATTCTTCTACAGTTACAGATTCTATAATAAATGAGTCTGAACTTCTCTTATTATCTCAGACATGTTAATACTTTATATAATTAATAGCAGTCTCTCAGATCTGTAAACAGTTTATTGAAATAGATATATTATCTAAGATTAAGTTTTATTACTATAAGATTCATAGTTCTGATATATCTTTATTAACAGTAGTTTATAAAAAGAAAACTATTATTCAAAGAGCTTATTATGTTATCAGATATTATAGAGAATATCTCTCATTAACTTTATTCTTAACTTAATTAAGAAAATAGCTGTGACTATTATCTTTGATAATTAATTCATCTTCTAATTCTGCAGATCTCTCTTCAGTCTTTTATTAACTATCTATATTATTATTTAACTCATCTGTAGTATATATCATCTGTAGTATATGTCATCTGTAGTATATGTCAATCACATATTATACATGTAAAAAGGTAAATCTTGTCTCATTCTCTAAGATGAAGATGAGCGGACGCCTAGACTGACTGTGTGACCGTGTCTGAGACCAGGATTAAACTTTACAGTTGTCATGTTGCCTAAAAGCATTACTTCTGATCATGATTTATGTTCATTACATTGATCTCAAATCATGTTATTTCAAATATTAAAGATCTCAGATTCATTTTTCAAATAAAAATCTAGTCTCAGATAAAGAATATGTTTGAATTCTTAGTCACATTTTCATTCTGATTTCATTATTGAGAATGATATCAAATAAGACTATGAAATTACTTCTCACTTACATAATATCATAATATAGTGCTCATTTGTTGAAAATTCAATAGAAAGTGTTACTAAATATTGTTACTTTTCTGAACATAGATCATAATTCATATAATTTTAATTATAAAAAAAACATAAAATACAAAAAAAAATAAAAAATAAAAAACAAAATAAACACAAGAAAAAATCACATTAAAAAAAAAAAAAGAAAAGAAAAGAAAAAGAAAAAAACAAAAAATAAAAATAAAAAAAATCAAGATCACAGAGCTGCAGTACTCTTAAAATACTCACTTCTTAGAGTCTTCATAATATTCATCATTAACTGTGTATCTCTCACAGTGAGAGTAATACAGCTGTAATGAGTCATTGTCTTAACATCATCTAATAAATAATCAGTATATATCTGTATAAATGTGAATAATTAGAAAATATACACTTAAAAAGTGTGATCAGAGTGAACTCTGCTGTCACTTGAATGATATCAAGAGCAGAATACTGAAATCAATGATTCCTCTCATCAATTTCATGAATAAGGTGTGTGAAGATGATCTTGAGAAATATAAGATTCTCTGACTTCTGATAAAAACAGATCTCATGAAGAGACTCTATTTTCATGATATCAGAGACTGAGTATTATTAAAAAGCATTACTTTCATACAATACACATGCACTTACTGCAGTGATTCATTCTCTGCATATGTGACTGAGAGTTGTGGCTTTTCCACACTGCACAGCTCTTCCTGGGATACTGCTGTCAGTTTGCAACTCACACAGTCTCTCAGTCCAGCACACGCTGCACATATACAGCTCTGTGTGCTGAGACTGTGTTAATCATTATGACCTGGCGTGGTACTCACTTTTTATGAGTCATGTTTTGTTTGAGAGAGAGGGGAGAAGATGCAACTGTTGTTTTATTAAGAGAGAAATGAATAATTAGTATTATTGAATTAATTTGATTCATCTGCATTTAAAATTTGATTAGTTTATACTCTTCAATTTGAGGGTTTCTGTGAGTGTTTTAATAGTTTTCATATCAGCTTGAACTTAGTGATGAATTGAAGAAGAAGAGAAAAGAGAGAAGAAAGAAATAAGAATAACTTATCTTTATAATATAAAAACAGAGAATTGCTGCAATCATTCTTCATAGTAACAAAGATCTGTTTTCTGCATGTATCTCTGATATAGATTATATAATAAATGCATATAAAGAATATCAATAGTGTATGCATTGAATGAAGATAATATTGCTATATAACACTGTAGCTGTTTCTGTACATCTCTGAAAGCTGTTAATAGTTTCTTTGTCTCTTTATGTTTAATAAGTCAATAATATATTCTGATGCACTCTCTCTTTCATCATCATCATCATTATCATTATTATCATTATTATTATCATTATCATCATCATTATCATCATTATTATCATTATCATCATTATCATTATCATATTATTACCTGCCTTCATCTCTCTCTCAATACTTATTAAAATCAATCATGTCATCTCTCTTTAAATATTCTGCGGTTCTGCGGACCATCAAGGCGCGTGAGCACTGTCATAGATTGAAGAGAGAGGAGAAGAAGGCATTCAAGTGCAGAGAGACAGATTACAAGACATATTATAATGTCTTAAAGAGGCTCTGTAAGAGAGTAGAATGATAATGATTTTAAGTAATACTTCTGATAGATTTAGACTGAACTAAGTATAGAAATAATGCAGATGACACTGTCTGTGAGAGATTGAAAAAGAAGACAGTGAAGAGTCTCATGCAGTAGCAGTGAGATCAGAAGAAGTTCTGAGAATGATTTAAGGTCAAGATGAAGAGAGAGAGAGAGAAGAAAAGTGTTACTGTAAATAAGCAGTAGCAGAAGAAGATTGAGAAGATATTGAAGTGAGAGATAAAGAAGTTAAAACTGGTAAGTTTTTTATTAAGAGATAATGATTTTTGATAATACTTCTGTTCTCTAATTGATTAGCAGAAGCTGGCAGAGGAGAAGAGAATTGAGACCTTGTTCAGGTCTCAAATGCACTTCATGATTCAGAATATTGAGAAGACAGCCCTGCTCTCTGAGCATGTCAATCTGCTTGCTGCTGAGATGAAACCTGAGACAGCAGATCAGGAAATGCAGGATTTTGAGATACAGGTTAATCTGGCTGAGAGAGAGCAGTGAGAACCCTTCTCTGAGAAGGCAGTGAAGAGAGATTTTGAGGTGATTATTACCTCAGATGAGAAGAAGAAGAAGAAGAAGAAGAAGAAGAAGAAGAAGAATGAGAAGTGAATTGTGAAGAATGATAAGAAGAATGAGAAAGAGAAGAAGTAGATTTTTTTCTTTTTATATTAGTTAGTTATAAGTTTAAGTTTTTAATTATTAATAATTAAAATTGATTTTAAGTTTTCAAAAATTATTGTACAAGTTGTAATCAAGTCAGGAATGATATATATATATATATATATTTAACTATCATGATTCACAAATCACTATAATGTATAAGTATTAACATTTTTTCAATATTGATATTCATAATATTAATATATTTTTAATGATATCATCTGATAACATAATTTGATAACACTCTCTTTCACAATATTAATATATTTCAAGAAATATGACAGAGATTAATCAAGATTATTTATTTACTTTTATACATCAATGATATTCAATCTGAGTTAGTACTAAAATTATAACTAAGCTAAGAAACAAGATTATTTTCTCTTATATTAATTCTTCTTACACACATCAGTGATCAGTTATTGAAAATAAATTGTCATCTTTCTCAAATTATTATCATGTCTTCTGAATTCACTTCTTTCACTTCATTTACTTCTATTGAAGATTCACAAACTCTTCAAGAAATCACTGTGAATCACAAAGTCTATGTTATTTACAATTCAACACAGAATGCTCTCTTTCAATTATGATGAATAATCACTTCATTCTTCACATCTGATTCCAGGCCATGAAATTTATGGAAAACTCAACACAAACATTGAGATGAACTATGAAATAATTATCAACAGGTTGTATTGCAGATTACTGAAGAGTCATCTCTTTGCTGCAATCACTGCAACTTCATTCAGAAACATTCATCATAAACTGATCATGACTCTGAAGAAATTTCCTGACATCTGAAGTCATCAGAATGCAGACAATAAAAGAAAAATAATCAGAAAATTACTACTGAGCTGGTAAGTTGCTCTACCAGGTAACAATTTTTGATAATACTAACTTTCTAATTTGAAGAAAATCATGTGAAAATGACTCTGTATCAGTACTCTGATTTCACAACTCTCATCTGATAACTTTCATGAATAATTACTTCACATATGTATATCTCTGAATCTTTCTCTTCAATCAATTGAAAACCCTGAATTCTGAACACTTCTTCAAATGCTTAATTCAAATCTTCATATTTCACATTGATTCTGTCTTCAGTTCAACCTTGAGACACACTACAAAGTCAATATACAACATCTAGAATCAGAGTTGAAGAATCATTGAAGAGTGTCTCTCACAGTGAATGCATGAACTAGTATAAACAATCTTACATTTATAGAAGTTACATGTTATTACATTGATGAGAACTGAACTTATCAAGAGACATTAATTGAATTTGAATCATTGATCAGTAGTCATACTGAGGATTATATGACAGAGGTATTAATGACTGTGATTAAAAATGACTATTGAGATATTAGTCTCAGTCTTCTTGCAATTACAACTGACAATGCTGTGAATAACTACACTATGATGAAGAGCTTGAAGCAAAAATTGACTTTGCATTCCTGAAATAATAAACAAGGTCATATCCCCTGCATTGCTCATGTGGTTCAACTTGTGATACAAACACTGATAAAGAATCTTAACATCAAGACAAAGAATAATGAGATGGCTGGTTCTTGAGATGAGAATGAGATGAAAGTGATTACTCAAGTAACTTTTACATTCACTTTGTAAAAGATAATGTTTTTTGACAACACTTTTTGATATTGCTTTTTGATAACACTTTTTGATAATGCTACTGTTAATTTTGAATAGATTGACTAATAATTTAAATATTATAGATTTGAAACATTGCTAATGCGATTTGTACCTCTTCTAAACAATAACAACAATTTCATGATATTCAACAAATAAACAAATCAGTCACACCTAGACTGGCCGCCGGGACCATGAATTTCACGTTTAGTTCCATTTGGTCTGGTCCCATACATTTCTTGGCGTGAATCCCGCTGGGACTGGCTATCAAAAAAAGAGGTAAAGTGACTATATATCAGATCTTAAAATGGAACCATGACTTGAAAAAAATGAGAAAGTGGTCTCATTTGATCCCATTTAGTCTCATTCTTGGCATAAAGTTACTATTTTTAGACATTTTAAGGTTTTTTTTAGACTATTTTTAATTTTTTAAAAAGTAACGCTTTTTGGTAACACTCAAATGAGATTTAAAGTCATTTAAAGCAATAAAAATAATTTAAATTGAGAAGTGAAAATCATGGTCTCATTTGAAAAATGTGACAAGAGTAGACAGTAAGTCCCACTGGGACAGTATGAGACTACTATCTAATGTTAAAACCGTGTAATGGGATCAGTCGAATTGGTAATGAAACTATCAAAAAATCTGGTCCTGGTCCCAGACACGGTCACACGGTCAGTCTAGTCATACCACTGAATATGATACAGGATGTTAGAACACAGTGGAGTTTAACATATGAGATGACTGTTTAAGCTCTTCAATTGCATCAGATGATTGATCATTGAGTGCAACACTCTGATCAGAAAAAGATTCAGATATTGAAACTTTCTGATATGAAGTGAACTCAGTTGAAATATGTGATTGATTTACTGTTTCAGTTTTATAAGACAATAAAGACAGTCTCAATCACTTGTACATCAATGCTGCAGTCAGCCTGGTGAGTGTATAACAGTTTATTTACTTATCTTGAGAAGCAGTTGAATCACTCAAAAAGAAATTCAGTCTGAGATGATGCTATAGCGCAGGCTATTGTTACTGCAAGGAATAAACTGGCATATTACTACAGCAAAATGAAACAATCTTTTGCAGAGTACTATGCTGTAGCAGCTCTACTAGATTTCTTCTGTTAAGTTAACATCTACACTTCTCAAGATTGAACAGAGGAGAAATAAGACTCATATGTTAAATTAGTCTGAGACTATTACAATGTCAACTATCAGAGATTTGAACAAGCAGATGTTCAAGATATGAAGACAGTGAAATATAATTCTCTAGTAAGTAACAATCTTTGATAACACTTCATATCACATAGAACTATAATACTCACTTTGAAACAGAACTTGCATACATTGATTGTAACTGAAAATCAGGCAAAACTACATGCTTGTAAAACTGAATTTGACTGCTATCTTCAAGATAATCTGACAAATTTACACACCAAATCAATTCTAGAGTTATAAAAAATTGTTGAGAGTACATATTCAACTGTTGCACTGATGACGTGTGATATTCTGACAATTTCATTGACAGGGATGAGAATGGAGTGAAAGTTCAACTCAAGTCAAGATATTTATCACTATTATTGAGGACAATTACAAGAAGAAACAATCAAGAAACTCATGATTGTAAAACATGAAATTATCAGACAGTTTAATACCTCTGATCACAGTATATCAGAGAAGTGTAGTTTTCATGAGAAAGTGAAGAATAAACTTGCACAAGAATGTATTTAGTTGTTTCATGAGTGTTATCAATAATCATTACCAAATTCTGATTATATAAGCAATCACTGAATGAACTGAATGAGACTGATTTTGATCTTCAGTCTCAGTTTCATTCTGATTTTGAAAGAATGATCATCTTTCACAGTTTATCCTGGAAAATTACTCTCATTTCACTGTTCTTGAATTAAATCTGGTCATTTTTCACACCATTTCTCTCAGAAATGGTTCATTTTCAGATTTTTTTAAGGCTTGGTCCTGGTGGGACTCACGCCAAGAAATGTATGAGACCAGATCAAATGGGATCAAATATGAAATTCATGGTTCCGCCGGCCAGTCTACGGACGCCTCTATATATATATATATACATGCTTGTTTATTTATTGTGATTAACTTTTACAGAAGAAAGAGGTGAAAGTCTCAGAAAGAAAGAGATGAAAGTTTCAGAAAGAGATAAGAGCTCTGAGAAGTATCAGATAGAGAAATAAGAATAGAGAAGAAGAAGAAAGAAGCAGAAGCTCTGAAAAGTAGTAAGAATAAACATCACAGTTTCTCTGTTTAAAAAGAGACAGACATCTGAAAATAAAATAGTGAGATGAAAAAATGAAGTTGAAAGAAGGTGATAGAAACTACTAAATACTACAGACACTAAACTTAATAAGAAATGAGAGAGTGAATACTAGATATTTTTCAGATACAGATTAATATTCTTCTTGTATAAGAGAGTGAGTAAAGAAAGAAATTAAAATAATGAGATAATAATAACATAATAACTATGAATGAGATAAAGAATCTGAGATAATAAGATGATAGAAGATTAAGTAAATATTATAGAGAATCTTTGTCTTTCATAAATATTATACAGATAAAGAAAGGAATTAAAACAATGAGATAATAATAAAATAATAACTATGAATGAGATAAAGAATCTGAAACAACAAGATGATAGAAGTTATAAGAATGAATAAAGAGATAAAAGATAAAGAACTATAAAATTCAGAGTAAACATGAATAAAAGAGAATAAGAAAATTAAGAATAATAAAGAAACAGATCTTTTATCAGAAGACTAAGAATAATATAAGTAAATAATCTATAAGTATATAATACAATCAGTTATCTCTCTCTTTTATTTTTTTCTTTTCTTTTTCTTATTATCTTTTCATCATCATTCTCATTATTATAAAAAATAAATTTTCATTGAAATTTAGAGAACTTGCAGTGATGAGTTCAAGAAAGATATTCAGAATATTAGATACAGAAGAAGTAATTAATCAGATTAATTATTTTAACAGAGATGATAAAAGAAGAGTATTGAAAAGATTATTTCAGTTATTAAGTCAGAAAGAGAGTAATACTCTTCTTAAGACTGCAGAGAAGATAAATAAAATTAAAGAGTCAGAATCTCATTCTTTAATATCTAAGATAGTTTCAAGAAGTAATGAGAAAAAGACAGCTGTATCTTATTATCAGTTAG